GATGGCGCCGACTCCAGCTCCAACGCCAGCAGCACCGACGCTGGCACCGACGCCGGCAGCTTCAATACCGACTCCGACGAGGGCCACGGCGAGGACCACGACCAAGGCCAGGGGGAGAAGGAGGACGACCACGGCTCGGACAGCCAGGGGCACCGTTGCGACCAGCCCGCCGGCGCTCTGCTAGCAGTACCATGACCCTCTCGACGTCATCCAAGACGCCAGCAGCATCGACGCTGGCACCGACTCTAGAGGCCACGCCGCGACGGGTATTAACGACCTAACTGACCTCGTTCCCGGCAGGCCGAATGTCAATGACATGTTAGAGGCCGTTTCCGCGACAGACATCAAAGACCTAAGCTGACCTCGTTCCCGGCTCCGCCTCCGACACGGAAGAGACGCCCTCCACAGAGATCTCGGTGAAGGCGTTGCCGCTCGAGTCTCCCGCCTACGTCGACATGGCCATGCACGGCGAGAACTCCAGCTGTCCCGGGTCGCGCCTCAACATCTGCGACCGGGCATCTCCGGCTCCAGCTCCGACCCTGGTCCACGACGATCATGATGAAGGATGCGACGACGTGTGCGACGAGCAACGCGACGACCACGGCAGTCACGACGTGCGCGACCCGCAGATGATCAGCGTGCTTGGGGACAAGGGCTATCCGCAGGAGTTCGCCCGCCATTTTTGCCTCGACCAGAAAGTTGGCGTCCAACGCGACGGCGGCATCAGGGACAGCACTGCAGCCAGCTCCCAGGCGGTCGCACACGTGAACACTGACGCCAGCGCAAGCGCTAGCTCCCAGGATGGCACTGCTGCCAGTATCAGCACTGACGCCACCCATTACGCCAGCAGCATTGACACCAGCACCACCGCTACCAGCGCGATCATTCAGATTTTCGTCAAGTCGCTCACAGGCAAGTCCATCACTCAAGGTGACGCCAAGCGACACGATCGACTTCGTCAAGTTCCAGATCCAGGACAATGAGGGCATCCCCCCTGCTCATCAGCGGCTGATCTATGCTGGATGTTAGCTGGATGACACGCATGCGCTGTCGGACCTCCACATCTCCCAGGACGCGACCTTGTGGCTGGTACTCCGGCTCCGGGGTGCTGGGCCAGCCACCCTGCTGACAGGGATCCCAGCCGCTGCTGGGGGCCCAGCTTCGCTTCCAGCCGCCGCTGCACCCGCGCCTCCTGGACTCCCAGCCCTCCCCGGCGCCGCATCCGCGGCTGGCGCTGCTGCCGCCGGGCCCACAGCGCTGCCCCAGGGCGACCCTGCCGCAGCGGCAGCCAGCGCGATGGCTGAGGAGCCCGCGATGGCCACCGTCGACCACCCCGCCGACGGCAGTGGCTTGACGCAGGCCGCTGCGCGCCTCGACCTCGACGACGGCGGCATCGCTATCGACGAGAGCGGAGGCGGGCCCCAGCAGGGAGCCCCCTCTCCAGCGGTGCAGCTGCCGCAGGATCACGGCAGCACTGAGCCACTTGGCACCCTGGTCGCCCCCTTCTCTATAGGAGGAGTTGTTGCAGCACATGGAGATTGCCGGGGCGCTCGCTGCTGCCAGGTTGCTCCAGCCGGCGAGTTTGTCTCGGTCGTCCCTGACTGGATGGGGGCCCGGCAGAGGTTTCTGAAGACGTTGGCCTTTGACGCGGACTTGGACGCCCCCTGGGCCTGGCTGGGCCTCTTCCCGATGGAAGGTCCCGCCCCTGATCTCGCTTGCATCGAGCGTTGTTGGTGGCGGGCGCGCCTATTCCTATCGTGTTCCTCGTCGACGTCGTGGGCGTCGGCGGATCGCAACTTGGCATGGTCCGCATTCTCCCGATTCGAGACGGCATTCGAGCATTGTGTTGCTGATCTCCCTCGTGTCCTCGCTGGTCGTCGGCGAGTTCGCGGAGACCCCCTTCCTCGTTGGCAGGAGCTGGGCACGACGGCGGTGGAGTTCATATTGAACACCCCGGCGTCGGAGACGGAGTTCGTGGCCGCGCAGCTCTGCGAGGTGCTCCCGCTCTCACCCGCTGTGCAAGCACACCCGCGTATGCGTGCGCCTGCTGCTGCGCGCCGCCTGTCCCAGTTGGCCGCAGAGGGCAAGGACTTCGTCTCGCTGCTGGGCCCAGGCGGTGCTGTGTTGTGGGCTCCAGTGGATCCGGCTGTCCTTGGACGTCTCCTTTCAGGCTATATGAAGCACGTCGCCGCCTTAGCAGGTGCTTGTCCACGTGGTTTTTTTGTTCTTAACGAAGGTATGCCCAGGATGCACTACCACGAGCATGATTAGGGGCCTCTTCTGGCACCCGCTGATGGGGGAGCCCCGAGGTTTAGTGCGGGAGCAGGCTTTCGTCCACCAGGAGCTGCAGATGGTCTCCTCCGGCAGCGGCGGCCCCACGAACTCCATGAGGGGCTTGCTCATGGCGACGTTATGCTGCAGCCTGCCCATGTCCTTCCCGAAGGTCTTGTCGGTTGCCGAGCCCATTCTTGCGGCCAGCGCCGGTCATTCTTTCTATGTG